GCAGGCGCGCGCCATGGGCCCCGGGGCTCCATGCCTCATGTGCGCACGGATAACTGGGATGGCGAAAGGAGGTTTTGTATCCATCACGCGTGTATCCCTCTGTTTTGCTAAAGGTGATTCGCCTGTGTTCCCACCTGGCCTGCTTGTCTGTCTATCTTTCTGACCTTTCCCCTGCACGGATTGTTTCACAATGTTGCCCTGGTCGGCCTGTGCGCCCACCCGCACATCTCCCAACACCCCGGCCCAAACCGCTGCCCGAGCCCCACTTCCCTCGGCCCCCGCTGTGTGCCCAACACAGGAGAAGCTGGGTCGGGTGGTGGCCCTGCTGGAGGGCCTCAAGTCCAGTGTCCCGCACCTGTCAGGGGAGCTGGACAAGGTGCTGTGCCATGTGGCGGACGTGCGAGCATGAGCTCGTCTCTGTGAACCGGCGTGGTTCCGGAGCCACAACGATATGCTGGGTTTTGCACATAACGGGGAAGGGGACTGGTCCCGAGCTGGTCGACCGGGAACCTAACGGAACCGGAAGATGAAATCCTCCAAGTCATGGGGGGCTCTTCCATGGGGGGGCCCACAAGAAATAGGCGACATTGGGGTGATTTGGTTTTAACCGCCAGAGGACATGAAGTGCAAGCTTTGTCGTGAACCAGAGTAACATAGTATAACACTGCGCAGCTTATAGGCTATTGGTAGCGCTAATTTTGGTTTGGGATGTTTTCACATGCTGAAGGTGCTGGGTGACGCACAGCTGATAGTGCTACGGGGAGTATTGAAGCGTAGTGTGCTGCTTCCCGTTCGGGAGGCAATGGGGAGTGCAGAGGACGGTGGCTGGGGCTTGAGGCAGTCAGTAGTATGGGGGGGGGGAGGAGGGTGGGCGGATCTGGTTGCTGTGCAGTGTTGACGTGACGTGTTCGTGACCGACACTAATATGGTTTCCTGTGGTTTGGACGCTGATGTATATCGTGGCGGTGGCGGTGATGAGGCCGGCGGTGGACATGATATCTGTTGGTGAGTTCCCTTGTGTGTGTGTGCGTGCGTTGTCAGCAGGATAGGATAGCTGCAGCGACTAATGATTTCATGTGAACGAACGAACGAACGAACGAACGAAGCGTGTGAGCGAGTGTGTGAGCGAGCATGGGGCTGGGCAGCGGCTCCGGACCATATTGAGGAGTATCAGTACCCGTGAGCAGGTAGGTAGGTAGGTAGGTAGGTCTAAGTTATGACGCGGAAAGAGTGCACTGTGATCAGGCATGGGTTGCGGTCTTGTGGATGAGCGAAGGCGTGACCTGCCCAGCTGTGTGAAGAGGTGCATGGCAGGAAGAAATCCGAGCGGGGCAGGGTAGGCGGATGGTGAGTTGATGCGCCGAGGACGTGATCGGAAAAAAGGAAATGATTTAGGTGGGACGACCGGGTAAAGATAGGAAAGCATGATGCAAAAGTGGGGGTGAGGGTGAGGGGGGCGGTGCCCCGGTGGATCATGTTTCCGGTAGGCCCGGTAATTAAGCATGCAAGCTGCAGGGCCTAAGGTTATTGACGCTACAAAAGGCCTTTCCGTATGACTCCCAATTGTGGGCCGATGGCTGACTTCGGTTCATGCGGTTTGCATTCATGGTCCTCTCTGTAAGCTCCACCGTACTGTAATTCATTCGCCTTGAACATGTAGCGGCCCTCATGGCAACCCTTGGCGTTTTATTCTTTCACGCTTCGTACGTCTTGTGCCGCATCATGGTGTTAATATTGCGGTTCAGGGCTTCAGTGCTGCAGGTACGGAGAGGTGGCTTGGGAACCCCAGGTCAAACCACTCTACCACGCCACCGCAGCTATGTGAAGTGAAAACAAGGCCAGCGCAACGGAAATATTGACATGAACAGCAGTGTGCCCTGCACAGCAGAAACCCCGTCATCAATGTCAGGGGCAGCTGTGTGCTCAGGCTTCATACTGGACACTGCTGAACCGGTCTCTGGAGAAAAAATAATGTCCCAAGCTCGGGATTATCGTTTTGCAGCGGTCCAGCCGCTTTACCATTACGGAAGATCGCGAGCGCAGGATGCGTGGCTGGGCCATAGCTGCGCGGCTGTCCAGGGGCCTTGCCCCTTGCGGCTGTCCGTGGACAGAGCTGAAAGTTAAGACTACATTTTATAATGCTTCTGGAGAGAAGGATTTAACACATGTGTTCCTCATTTCCCCACAATTGGATGGATGGATGGATGTTACAAGCTTCAGCGAGCTCTACGGCTCAAACGAACCGGGAGGCTCATGAACCGCTTT